AGTCATTGAATGAAGTTAAAATATATACGAAATGTGTGTAGCAACACGATATACGAAATGTGTGTAGCAACACGCGCACCATGCCCGGCCATCACTTATAAGCCGGACAGCTGTGAGAAGGATAGAAATGTCTAGAGATCTCGTTCGGGGCTGCTTACTTTACGAGTTGAAAGTGGGCTTATCAGCAGCTGTATCAAGTCGCCGCATACGTCAAGCCTTTGGGGGTAGTGTTGTGGATGAACGTACTGCAAGGCGTTGGTTTCGAAAATTCAAGTCGGGAGATTTGTCTCTCCATGATGAGCCTCGCAGTGGATGACCACAGGTTTTGAATGACGGAGTTCTGAAGGCGGCCATTGAAGAGGACAGTAGTCTAACGTGTGGTGAACTTGCAAGACAGTTCAACGTTTCCGATGAAACAGTTAGACTTCACCTGCACTGCCCAGGTAAGACGTACAAACTGAGCAAGTGGGTTCCGCAAACGCTGTTGGAGGTCCACAAGAGACAACGAGTGGCTGCCTTCGTATCGCTGCTTTCTCGCCACCGTACCGCATCCTTATTCATTTGAGTGATGAAAAGTGGGTTCTGTGCGAAACTCCCAAGCGTTCCAGACATTGGTTGTCTCGTCAGGATGCTGTCCCTGCACCCATGCAAGATTATGCTTTGTGTCTGGTGGACAAGTCGTTATGTGCTTTATTATGAACTGCTACAAACAGGCCAAACGATCACTGGAGACCTATACTCGCAGCAATTGAAACGTGTGCAACAGGCATTGCGCAAGAAGGAGCCAGCACTGGTGAATCGCAAAGGTGTGCTTTTCCTCCATGACAACGCCAGGCCGAATGTCGCGCTAGTGGTCAGGGATACCATACATCAACTTGGGTGGGAGATTTTGTGCCATCCATCTTATTCACCTGACATTGCGCCATCAGATTACAACCTCTTCCTCTTCCTGGATAATGATCTTCGTTCGAAGTCCTTCACCAATGAAGCAGACTTGCGTAAAGTCCTCACGGACTTCTTTGCGTCAAAACCATCCGAGTTCTACCGCAAGGGCATTGAACAGCTGGAGACAGGTTGGCAGAAGGTGCTGTATGCCGATTACTTCGAAGACTAAATATAAGTTACACATACTGTGAAGCGTTTTCTTTTTTTCCTTTAAAAACGGACAGAACTTTTTGGTTACCTTTGTATATATATAATATATATATATATATATATATATATATATATATATATATATATATGTTTTAATCTAGGAAAGGTTACTGCATAGAATAATCAAAAGAAGGTTGGTAGTCAACGATAATATTTAGCACAAGTTCAATATATATATATATATATATATATATATATATATATATATATATGTCCGAGCTGCAAATTTCAGTATTGATGGAACCAAGGAATATAGAATATGAAGGGAATGTTGATGATTCATTTTTGTCGACGTGTCATGGCAGGTCCTAGCTGCAAAGATCATGGCTGGTGGAACCAAGGAATATATCTCGTCAAAACAGTTGCCATAGAAATAGTGATAGGGCAACGAAAATATTGTGACATTTCGTCTGTGGGGAAGGGATTTTAGGGTGGAATATAATTCCACAAGTCCGCGTAGACGATTTGGATGTATATCACGGCAGGCGATTGTGGACTGGGCAGTGTCAGCTTCCAGATATGTCAGCAATGATCCATTTTTGATCTGATCTTGTTAAGACATTTTATCGCAGGTGCAATTAGATGTTTAATGTAGCGTTAAAATGAAGATTTTTCTTGTATCTTTAGCAATAGATTGGATATATGTGTTGTGGATTCCGTGGATGGAATCCGGCACAAATAAATAAACAACGCCAGTAATTGAGATAGAAAAAGAAGTGTATTAAACGTAAGAATACAGACTTGAAGTGAGGATTAGTAGTCCAGGAATGCGGGTTAGTAGAAAGTATATGTACAAATCTCTGTAAGTACAGCCGTAAACATCTCTCTCTCTCTCTGAAAACACCCTGCGTCTGTCTCCGTATCTCTTAACCTGTCTCAACATATCTCACCGTATCTCCACGTATCTCAACATATCTCAAAGTATCTCAACGTATCTCGATAGTTAACAGTCCACCCAACCCACGAGGAATGTATGTGGCCCAAGGCCGAGTTTAACCTGGGTTTCTCCGAGCCCGTAGGCCCGGCCAAAAATATCCCCTTTGAACCCGTATAAGCGGCTTCGGAAAACTGTCTACCTCCCCGGACGAAACTTTGCCCTTCGGCAAAGCTTCGTCCAGGTTCCTCTCTGCCAAAGCAGAGAGTTCGACAGACGTCGCACACAGTCAGAGACAGTATCTCAACGTATCTCAACAGCAGGTATTCTCTCTGTCAGTATAAGTATACTTTGGACGAGTCCATCTTGTGTAAAAAGGGAAGAGCTCCACAACAATATAATTTCCATCTGAGGTCTTCAGTGCCAATAGACGCTCAAGCCTAGGAACCATTTTGATAGGTGAAAGTTAAATCTCTGCTCAGTAAGAAAAAAAATTACATTTACATCATTATAGTGGTCGGGAAATGATTCTGCCAGGAGACAGTTCCACAAAGCAGCTGCTCTTGGGAAGAAGCTGGAACTTGCTTCTTACTAATGCAATACAAAGTGAATGAGTATGATTCATCCTTGTGTACGTATCATGGCGGGTCCTATCTGCAGAAGAACCAAGGAATACAGCTTGTCAGAACAGTTGCCCTGGAAATAGCGATAAGGCAGTGATAGGCTTGCAACGTTTCATATTTATGTAGGAAGGTTCCTATCTTAAATTGTGTATAAATTATTTAATAAGCGTATGGAAAAGAAGAAAATGGCGTGATGCCGGATGTATTCTTTTTCATATTGTCTCGCATCTTTTAAGCATTACACATGACGTCATAATGGATCGTTTCTAATTGTACGCTTTGTATATATATATATATATATATATATATATATATATACCAGGATGTAGCCAATAAAATCTCACTCACAAGTATAACTGCACATTGTTCTTTACCCAAGCCCGGCGAGACGTTGCTTACATTCAGAGGAACGACTTTACTTAACTTCATTGGATCATAGGAAAAAACCTTATAACCAATTTAATGACGTCAGAATGGATCGTTTCAAATTGTATGCTTTGTATATATACCAGGATGTAGCTAATAAAATCTCACTCACAAGTGTAACTGCACATTGTTCTTTACTCAAGCCCGGCGAGACGTTGCTTACCTTCAGAGGGACGACTTTGCTTAACTTCATTGGATCATAGGAAAAAACCTTATAACCAATTTAATGACGTCAGAATGGATCGTTTCAAATTGTATGCTTTGTATATATACCAGGATGTAGCCAATAAAATCTCACTCACAAGTGTAACTGCACATTGTTCTTTACCCAAGCCCGGCGAGACGTTGCTTACCTTCAGAGGGACGACTTTGCTTAACTTCATTGGATCATAGGAAAAAACCTTATAACCAATTTAATGAAATTGTATGGATAGTGGAACAGCGTTCGGGAGCACAGTGGAATGAGCAAAGAACTAAAGAAAGTTGTGGAGAGTCATGATCTACTAATTGGAAGCTGTGGAGAGACATAATTGCCTATAAATTAATAAACACAACACATAGAAGTATATCGGTGCTTGTATGCTTCTGCGTCGTGGTGTGTATCAATATATGTATTTTTATATGAATATGTGCGTGCTTTTATGAACATTTCTATTTTGTATGTTTGTATCTGTGTGTTATTGTATATACATGTTTGTGTGTTATTCTATGTATGTGTTTTGCGTATATATATATATATATATATATATATATATATATATATATATTCGACTGCGTGTACGAACATGAAGACAGGAATATAATAATTATCAGAATGTGCACGTTTTTATTATATTATTTGTACATCTAGTTATGTGTATGTATGTATGTATGCATCTGTGAGGTTTTCCGTATGTAGACGTTTGTATATGCGTTTTTGTAATTGTGTTTATGCGCACACAAAGCCCTATATGTGAGTGCGCGTGCGCGTGCGCGTGCGTGTCTGCCCGTGTTTAATTCTCGAAGTCTTAAAACCTGGAATCCTGCGTTGATAATCGATATTGGCCTATATTAATTTCAAAGAAATCACATCGGATTCGATTCAATCAAGTAAAAAAAGTTAGAACGCATATTTAAATTTCAAAGATGAGCGAAAGATTCCTCACAAACATGCAATTAATTATACGAGGTTCATTCCAAATGTAATGATTCCTATAATGTAATTTTAGTTCCAGACATCAGAAGCATATTTCCATGATTTTCTAATATAAGTTAAGCCTTCGCTCTAATAATCCATATTTAAAACAATGTCTTCTTACAGATAACATCCGAGCGGAAATATGGCAAAAAAAAAAGTTTTCTGATATAAAATTGCGCATGAAGCAGAATTGCATAATTCGCAATAATTATGCCTATTTACAATCATGGATGCTTACTAAATGTTTCCGGCGACCAAACAGTGGATGTGAGTTTAGTAATATTTTGGAAAATTGTTTTCAGCTGTAATGGCAGTGACGTATGTAGCATAAGTGTATATTTTTTACTTGACGAACGTATATATGTATTGTTTATCCTTTTTGGAAAAGAATAAATATTTTCGCGAGGAGTTTGTGGAAAATAGTATTTTGTAAACGAAAACAGGCTCCACCCGTCGGTTTTATTTTGTCCCATGTAGCGGTTGTAGTTTCTGTGGCAATAAATAGAATGCCTTATGTTCAGAGCGTTCTTGTGTTTCTGATACGGAAAGACGAAGAAATTGATAATCTTGGAGAACAACGACAAAGACGGAAATATAAATTGTGATGGTTCTTGACTAGCATCTGCTAACGTCGTCAAACTAAATTTCAGAATGAATTTGACAGAAAATATTAAATCTAGCCGATCAAAAATTTATTCGTCTGATTAAAGCAATAACACGATCTTTGAAAGTTCCAAATTGAAATTTAAAGGCAAAATATGATGGTCACTTTAAAGAGCAATATCCAGAGAAAAGAACGATGAAGAATTGATAGATAGATAGATAGATAGATAGATAGATAGATAGATAGATCGATAGATAGATATGAACAGACTGAGATAGATAGATAGATAGATAGATAGATAGATAGATAGATAGATAGATATGAACAGACTGAGATAGATAGATAGATAGATAGATAGATAGATAGATAGATAGATTCAGAGATATGAACAGACTGGGATAGATATATATAGATAGATATGAACAGATTTAGATTTAGATACATATGAACAGACTGAGATAGATAGATAGATAGATAGATAGATGATAGATAGATAGATAGATATATAATAGACTTTAGATAGATAGAACAGACTGAGATAGATAGATAGATAGATAGATAGATATGAAGAGATTTAGATAGATACATATGAACAGACTGAAGATAGATGGAACAGACTGAGATAGATGGAGATAGATAGAGATAGAGAGAGAGATAGAGAGAGAGAGAAAGATAGACAGGCAGAGACAGAAAAGGTTGAAGGCTGGTGAAGTTATAATTTGATAAGCTGCCTGTCAGTTCTTTTTCTGTGTAAAGTGTCTGTTCAGTATGTGGGCGATTAAGGCCCTTCACAGCGACTTATTCTTTGTAAGGGCTAACTTTTTTTCATCCCTCCAACTTCCTGTTCCGTCAACAATTTACACAAACCTCGTTAAGTACGTTATTATCCGCTTCCTTCTGGATTTCTTGCTTCCGATATATCCTGTGTGTTTCAAATTCTCCAAACACTTCTTTCTCATAAATATGCCCCAAAATTTCAAATGTCTCTTTCAGATTCTAAGTATAATTGCTTCCATTTTCTTTAAATCATCCTCATAAACAAACTGTTCTGTTCATGACATTGTCAACATTATCCTGTAGAACCATATTACTGTTGCTTGAAGACGTCCCTTTATCTATAAGAAGACTTCCTAAATAGGAGTGTAAGTTTGACAGAGTGATACTACATAACAGTTCAGTTCTCTTTGATTTGTTACTAACAAAATATTTTTTAATACTTTGCTTAGATTATAGAAGGCATCTTTTGCTATTACAATGCACATTCGGATTTCTGTGTCACATTTTCTTGTGCTGTTGAAATTGTTCCCAGATATGTAACATTTTCCGCCTGCTTGATTTCGATGTCTTCTATGCGTCGTTTGCATCTTAGCTGGTTACTTTTGCTAAAAAAACATACATTCTGTTTTCATAAATTGGAGGTTTATTTCTTTCTTCTCAATTTCTCTTGCTAACTTCTGTAGAATTTCATGTAGTTTTAATTTCTGCGTCTGCTACAAACACCTTGTCGTCTGCCAATCATTGGTATAAGAATGAGTTATTCATAAATGTGTCTTCAGTGTCAGGGGTCAGTAAATGATTCCGTATCAGCAGCTCAGAATTAGAATTCTCTTTTTAGTGCAGCAGGTCCTGTTTCCTTGAAAGGTTGGCGTAGCACGATCTTCATTTCTCTATTTGCGCGCATTTAGGACTGGCTCATATAAAGACAAACTTAGTTAATACCAAACAGATAAGATGTGTATTATCCAATTGTCTTCATAGGATTCCCCTATCGCACATCTAATCCCATTAGTCTAAATATATTCATACTGGTTATCCTAGAGGCCTATTAAGTTTTGCTTATCTCATCCCGTGCGTCTACTAATATTCGCACTTGTGCCTAGTAATACACCCCTTATCATCGTAGAGAAATGTTAATATTCCCATATACAATCCAAGAGACCTACGAATAGTCAACCATATCACTAGAGTTTTCCTACATATCATCCTAGAAGCCAATGTGTATCCCGCAATAATAGCAAAAAACTGCTAATGTTCCCAGAGGGCTGTCGAAACTTAATTGTAAGGAGAAAATGGTAGAAAGAGTCAGCCATTTTTGGTTGGGGTATAAGGACACACTTATTTCCCACATCTTTAGCGATAGATCGTATGTACATCTGGAGGGAGTTTGAGACCCAGTAGACGCCCTCTCAAGAACCTTCATTGGAAAAAAACTGATAATGAAACATTCGGTATCGCATTTTCCGTTGATTTTGATATTTCTCGAATATTTAAATCGTGAATGTCGGTTTTCTTTTTGTATAGGGTTGCGTTGCACTTTTAACTGTCAGTGTTTTCTTGCATTGAGAAGACTATCTCCTATGCGGATTGTTAATTTTGACAAACGCATTAGGCTACTCTTCTTTTTTTTTTGCCTTCTCTTCCAATCTACAAATGCAAGACAGGTTCTTGGAAAGGGATGTTGATAAGCTTAGCTTACTTCTCATGAAATTAATCAATAATACTTAGAATTGCTTTCCGTGCGTTCGAGGAGTTTTATCACACCTTCTCATAACAGGTGCCTGTAGGCAACTGACGTCTAATACGGTTAGAATAAATGAAAGCCTCGTTTTCGAGGTCTGCTATGCGCGTTCAAGTCTCATCGAAAATTACTTTTTCAATTGGAAATGTTTTGGATGAATCATTGTCAATTATTATTATTATTATTATTATTATTATTATTACTTACTTACTTACTTACTTACTTACATACATACATACTTCACATTATTTCTTTGATTTTGGTTATAATCGATTTTGTTTGTATATGCTCATGTCGTCATTCTACGACTATATAATTCCGGAAAATGACGATCGAGTTAATTGAGATTGAGAGCAACTGAGATTAAAATGAAAGAAAAATCATAAATTAATATGACTGACAATTTTTCATGTAATAAAATATCTATATAGTATTATTAATAATGACCCTAGATTGGAGGTTGGAATAACCGTGAGAAATTAAAAATACTAATAAAAATGAATAATTGCTGACAATGATTCCACTCGTAGAATCTGAAGCTAATATTATTACCACGCGTTGATAAGTTGTGATGAAAAGCAAGTGTAATTAATATAAATTATATAATTATCAAAATTAATAATGCCTGACGATACTTCATCTAATAAAATACATAACATTATTACTAATGACCATAAACATTTCGGAAGGTTGTGATTGAAAATTAAAATTTAGATGAAATTAATGCTATTAAAAAAATGGCTGACAATCTGATAAAAAAATCAACAGAATATTATCACTAATGATCATAGACAATTTCAAAGCGTTGATAAATGTAATTTAAAGTAAGATGAAAGAAATACTAGTAACAATGGCTGACAAAGCTTCATCTAATACAAAGACAATATTATTATTAATGGTCATAGACTGACAATACAATAATCGTTGTATTGAGAAGCAATTAAAATTAAGATGAAATAAATACAAGACAAAATGAATAATGGTTGACAATTCTTCATTTCATAAATTATTAAATACAATGTAACAACTAATAATAATAAAAAATATTTGTCATGTATTTTGATGACATGGCGTATAATGCCTTTCCACACCTTCCTGTCTTTTGTTACTCGAAATTAATTTTGAATCTTGACCATCCAACTTTGCATTTGTTCTCGCATCCATTCAGACAAATTCTTTAAATAGGTTAATGACTCTTTCCGACAATTCATTTGCATTCTATATGTACTTCTGGTTGTTAAATGTGCTCAGCCTTGCAAGAATAAAAAATGAAAAGACCAAAAAAAAAAAAAAAAAAAAAAAACAATGAAAGAAAAAACCACGAATGAAAAGCGATAATGTCCGAAATAAAGACTGTCAACATGGAATTCAGAGAGAAAGAAAGAAAACAAAGCAAGCGAACGATGAGTAAAAACCTAAAGAAAGAAAGGAAGATTGAAAGCAAACGAAAGAGAAATAAAGACAGAATGAAAGGCAGTAAGTAACTAAAAAGAAAGTAAAAATTAAGAGAAATAAAGCAATGAAGAGAGATAGAACTCAAAAATAAAGAAAGATGGAAGTCTAGAAAATGATATCTCAAAAATATCAAAGAAAGAAAGAAGTTGGGAAACTGATGTCATTGGTGTCACTCTATCGGCTTCTTCCGAAATTCAGTCCCATCCCTGTCCTCAATCAAATTTAATGAAGAAATACTAGACTCGGTAAAAATAACTCTCACATATACCCAACCACCACTCACATAATGGTAAGACATTAATGACAATGGTGTCTTCATCTTGCTAGTGCCTTACCGTTATGTGGGAGGTATTTCTGAGTGGAGGTATAGGTACGAGTTATTTCTACTCCACCCTATACAATCGAAGCTGTTTACCAACGATTATTTGATACCCAAAATGTTCATTTTCAGAATTTCTTGATGATTTGTATTTTGACATTTATCTGATCGTCCTTACAGCTTCTCTTCAGACCAATTTCCGAACCCCAATCATGCTTGATGTACATTTTCATTGAATTCTTTTTTCTTGTCCTCCTTTTTTCGATTCAAAATATCGACTGCTTTGCTTACCTTCTCTCGTCGATTCTTTCTTTCATTTCAAATATTACATTGTATTGTCTTTCTCCATCTTCTTTTGTTTCATAAGGATTCTTTCTTCCTTGCTAATGATTTTACATGCTTTCTTTCTTTCTTTTGTTTTTATATTTTAACATTCTTTCTTTCTTTCTTTTTTTCTTTCTTTCTTTCTTTCTTTCTTTCTTTCTTTCTTTCTTTTGATTTTAATATCCTTTCTTTCAATCAATTTTATATCTTAACATTCTTTTTACTTCTTTATTTTGATTTTATATCGTAACACTCTTCTTTCTTTCTTTCTTTCTTTCTTTCTTTCTTATGAATTCATGCCCTATCATTTTTTCTTTCGTTTTTTTTCTTTCTTTCCTTCTTTATTTCTTTTCCTTTCTTATGATTTTATATTCTATCATTCTTTTTCGTTCTTTCTTTCTTTTTTATTTTATGTCCTATCTTTCTTTCTTTCTTTTATATATATCCTTACTTTTCTTTCTTTCTTTCTTTCTTTCTTATAATTTTACGAAATTTCTTTCTTTTCATTTCTTATAATTTTATGTCCGATCTTTTTTCTTTCTTTCTTTCTTTATTTCTTTCTTTCTTTCTTTCTTTCATTCTTTCTTTCTTTCTTTCATTAATTAATTCATTCATTCATTCTTTCTTTCTTTCTATTCTGTATGCTAAATTTTCTTTCTTTCTTTCTTTCTTTCTTTCTTTCTTTCTTATAATCTTATGAACTTTCTTTCTTTTCATTTTTTATAATTTTATGTCCTATTCTTTTCCTTTTTTACTTTCTTTCTTTCTTTCTTTCTTTCTTTCATTCTTTCTTTCTTTCTTTCTTATAATTTTATCAACTTTCTTTACATTTCTTATAACTTAATGTCCTATTCTTTTTCTTTCTTTCTTTCTTTCTTTCTTTCTTTCTTTCTTTCTTTCTGCACCTACTCTTTGTATAGTTTGCATTGTATTCTAAGTTGTTTTATTCCATTGTCTCTATATTTTCACATGTTCATATCCAATCTGTTCTTTCGAAATCTGTTTGCATTTCGTTTTCCCCAAACTCTCTGCTTATCCTTATATAATTTCGCCATCCCACGTTTCCCCCTCTTGCTATACAATCTCTCTCTCTCTCTCTTTCTTTCTCTCTCTCTCTCTCTCTCTCTCTCTCTCATCGACATACTTTCTTCGTTTTCGAGCTCTAGGGTAATATTCTTTATTCGTTTTTCATTTGAATATTTTTCCAAGTGAATTGAATTTTCCGATAGTACAGATATCTGGTCAGGATATCAAGTGCTTGGTCTTCCTGCCGAATTTTCCCGCCAACTTTGCAAAAGTTTAATAACGATTAGCTTGATAACATCTTTTAGAAAATGCTACAAACCATTTCACTGGCGCAATGCCCACCAGTTTTGAACAATTGATGACAAAAATCATATATATATATATATATATATATATATATATATATATATTATTTTTTACAATTTTCCAGATTTGCTATTTGATACAATTCTTTAGAAAGTCTTTACCTGAGACTTGAAGAAAAGAATTTTTTCAGAATATCATTGACGAAAAGTGAGGTTTTCTGAGTGTGCCATTAGTGCTTATTTTTAATCATCTCATTCCAAACAAGGCAATAAGGCCACTAAGACACAAGATGTTATTGGAAATGAGAGTGAGAAAACGCCAGTGAGGAGAAAGAACAATATCGACCAGTATTCAGGAAGAGAGAAAATGGCGATTGGCGTTGCATTTATGTTCTTGTAGATTGTAAGTAGAAGTGAAGCAAGAAACCCAAAGACAGTTCTATAGGAGGGAAATGCGAAAATAAAATTATTAGAATCGAACTTCAAGCGAATTCAAAATAAAACAGTGAGACCTACTTGCCAATCTAGCAGTGCGCTTAAATTGATGCAGTCCACGTATCAAGGTGGAAAGCTCATCAGAACCATTGCCATGAAAATATTTATAGATAAGGCAGACGGAAGGCATTTCACGGCGATGACAAAGTGACTGTAGTCGAGATGCCATGTGAGGACCGATTAGATGACAGATCTTTATTTAGATTATCTCAATAATCGCAAAATATAAAGCAAGAATACCAGACTAGATAGAGTAGAAATATTCATTGCCCGGACAAATAATAGATTTTTTAAATGGTCACGATGTATTCTGAGAAAAAATGGTTGGCACAATACAGTGAAGTATTAAGCAATTCAATATAATCAAATAATAAACCCCCCAAAAGTACAATGAGTTCTTTTTATAGAGATTACCATCAGTCAGGCGGCTGGAAGACAGGCAATGTTCTCTGTGGTAATTAAATAATAGCAGTCTTGTTTCGTAGGTGTTAAAAGTTACAAGCCACTCCTTGCACCAGTTAACCATTGATTTCTGATTTGTATGGTTTACATTGTCGGTAATATCGGATTTACTACTATGACAGGAGTAAATACTTGTATCATCAGCATAAATGACTAGTTGGGATCTGATAGCATCAATGAGGTCATTGATTAAAATAAGAAACAACTTGGTGACCCACAACATATCATTATACGATTTTTTGTGAACTATAGGATTATAAAATATTTATCCAGAGACAATGTAGCCCTTGAGTTTGTAAAGAAGGCCAGCCGTTTAAAAAATGTATTTCAGAATATGAGAGATATCCTTGTATTTTCTACTATTTTTACAATATTCTTTTAAATAATTCCTAATGCACCTATCATAATCATCATGACTTTGACTTTTTTAATTGTAGTGAGGATCCAAATGCAGAAGCTATATTGAATGTCCTCCACAAGGGTCTATCATCGGGGTTCGTGCTATGTCGAATCCTGGGGAACCGTATATACTGCAGCCGCAGTAGAAGTGATGTTTCTTGGGCAAGGATAACCTGAGGGAGCCCAATCCTCTCCAGGTCGGTTATGAATTCAGAGTTAACTTTTCCTAGAACGGTTGCCATCCAAGGCAATTTTTTCCGGCTATTTATCCATAGTTGGGTGAGAAGAAAAAGGATTCATACCTTTCACAATGGTATCAGCACGTAAGTGAACGTAATCGACCCGACTGGAATTCGAACTCAGCTCGCCGATTCCTCTATCCATTACTCTACTCTGTCTCTTCTATAAATGGATGCCATCAGCAATTCTGGTATAGTCATACTTGTTAATTTGTTCGGCATTGCCCAATCAGTTTTTGCGTTGGCGTCCTTTCCTGTGTGTAAGGGGCGATGGGTATAGTATCTTTGTGGCTCGGTTGCTGCAATTTATTATTAAGGTGGATGAACAATACTGGTCTTCAACCATTCCCTAAATTTCTCACGTGTTGGCTTCATGCTCCACATCCCGGTAAACCGCTTCAGCAGGCGGGTTAAATCACGTGTTTGCATGATAATCAGCAGATGGTCTGCACAAGTGGAAAATGGTTGGACAATGGAGTCAACAACCAAGTGCACAGACCGAAGGCGATCCGTATTATATTAGTGGCTTCGGCTGTCGACCAAGGTCCTGGATAGGAGATGGGCGCCGCCAAATTATGTACAGGCCCACTGAAATGATTATGAAGCAATGCTTCTATACTTTCTACTAATATTCTCCCGATACAAGACCCGAGAACCATTTGTGTTAGAACGTTAATAAATTAGGTTGTTTTATGAGCCTAAGAGAATTGTAGTTTATGACGTTATGTTGGAAAGATAATAGTTAACTACTGACTTGAATATTCTAGTGATCGAGAAGACAACTTCTCAGGATACTAAATATCCTTTTTTTTATATGACGTGCTTTCTTCGTTATTGATTACGAAGGAAATGGTGTTGATTCGTTCCAGTATATGGGCAGGTCAGATTTGTGAATGTCAGAAGTCGTGCTTCAAAGGAATCTATCTCTTCAGAACATTTGCCGTGGAAATAACGCTAGAGTAGCAAGAGGCGTGGGAAAGATGCAGATGATCTCGTCTGTATGAGACAAGATCATCTGCATCAAAACATATCGCTCTATATCCTTACGCTGGAAATAGGTCCTTGGTCAGAAGGTCGATCTATTAAAATGCCTTGCTTTTTTATAATGTTAAGTGTTAACTTAAGCCAATTCATCTGATGAAAAGGCACCGAATTCATCGTTGATATTCAAAAGAGATATCTCAAAGAATTTTTCTTATCGCATGGCAAAACATAATCTTGAATCTAATGCAGAAGCGAATAACTCGAAGCGTTGAACAGAATGGTATGTTTTCATTCAGTTCAAAAGAAACTTTTTATGTGCAAAAATACATCGACTCAGTGGATCTAAGTGTATTTCTAAAACTTGTCAAAGTGATTTTTTTCGATATTACGTTGAATAGTAAGGAAAAGCAATAAAAACGTCAAAGCTATTACAATTAATAATTAGTGTTTGACTTTGGGGGAGATAAGTTCTAGTTTGTGTTGGCAGCTGAATTTAAAATGAACATACCAAAAAAGAACTATTTGCTCCACAGGATTTTATTCGGTTATCTTTTGACTCGAAGGTTGGTTCCTTGTGCTATTTTTGAAACCACCTCCTGTTAGCATGCTCTCATTTTTCAAGAGGCATATCAAACAGAAAACAGGATTATTGCTCCCATATCTGAACTGGAATTGCCTAATCCTTTACTTTCTAGCCATGGCAGATATTAAAAGAGATTAAAGCCTTGTGAGCGATTGATTAATTATTTTCAACTGCACGGCCCCTTTCTCAGGTTCGAAACGTCTGCATTCTAATCCTACTCTACCGCTATTATCATGGCAACAAGCTACAACTCTTTGTTCTACCAGTTCAGACCTTTACAGCTAGGACAATATATCGCCCGTACAAAGAGTTGAATCATCTTCACCCCACTTCGTATTCTATAGATATAGAGGAAGTTTTCCGCCAGCATTTTGCAGAGAACGGCTACTTTATAGAGGAATCTGTTTGAG